GGATAGATGAAAGAAAGTGAATTGGGCTGCCTTCAAATCCCTCTGCTCTCCTTAGAAAATTTTGCATTGAGCTTATCTGTTCAAAGAGCTCACATTCTCATGAGAGAAGTATCATGAAACTCTGTACATACAACGTAAATGGAAGGTAGAAGTGAAGTGGGGGAGGTGGGGGAGTTAGAAAGGTATCCTGTATAAGAAGAACAACCTCTACCGGGCAGAATTTGAACCCTCAAATTCTCTACTTCCAGGGCTAGGCCTCATTCCAGGGCACCAGGCTGCCTCCTCAATGGGGTGTTGGCATTGTTTAAAATGTTGTCCAAAAACTCCCTTATTGGAATGTCTACGAGAGCAGATTGTGCAGCCAGATCTGAGTTTGAGAATTATTTATATCACTTCAGTAGTATGGGCAATGGAGAAGAAATTTGAATCCATTGAATTGTTAACACAAGAACAGTTATGTGGGCAGATTTTTTTATTGCCCAAAATTCACCCTGTGTTTGTTAGGGTTTGGTAGCAACCTTTAACGGTAAAACTGGATTTTGGCTGAGTCAGTTGGAGAAATGAATTTTTGGTGATGAGTAATGTTACAAAGTCCTTGTAGAATTAAGTGGGTTATTGATGGGTGGGTAAAGGCTATAAAAACTTTTATTAGCATTGACGTGTATTTAGTGTCTTTGTCACAAATATGAATAATTTTAAGTGGCTGATTCCTTTGCCACTGTTTTTCTCTCTTTACAACAGAATGGAAGGATGATCCTTTGAGGGGGGCAGGAGAGGAAAAGGAGCATTCCTTGGGCAGCCAATGTAATCTTTCATGAATTTTGCCTTCTTGGGTATTTTATGTGATGTAGAAAGCAAAATGTTGTAAGGAAAAATAAACACATTACTTCTTAGGAGATAATAACCCATGATATGTACAAGCAAATACTTATTATTTACAATGATGAGGTGGCCAGTATTGCTCTAGCATTGCTTGCTTGACAAATTCTTATCATTATTGTATGAGCATTCTTTTATTTAAATGGTTGATAGTTTCAGGAGCAAGTGTTCAGTCCTTTAGAGGCAGGGAGATGGTGAAAGCTTTCTTCCCAAGATAATGGGATGCCTGTCAAGTCCTGTGACTCCCCAGGTCTTAAATTCCCAAACCACACTCTTCTCTTATATTTAACCCATTTCTCCCAAAATTACATTTGTTCCACTGTCTATTATTGGAAATTCAGATTTCCTTTCCTCTTTGCCCCTAAGCAGTTCCTTTTTGTTAGATCCTGTGGAAGGCCAAAATACTTTCTTCCTAATGTTGCTAGAAAATAACAGCTGTAGCTTTCAGATGCGTTTTTCTGTTGAGGTAGTCATAGAATCACAGTGTCTTAGTGTAGGAAGTGTCCTTAAGCTTGATGCACCTGTGCCTTCAAGACTATTGTGTGTCCAGAACTGAATGTCATATTCCAAATGGGATCTCAGCGCAGTGGGAATCAACCTAGATCCCTCTGTCTCTCTTATCCATTTAAAAATAAATCATTTTTTATTAATATCTTCTGGTTTTCCATCCTCTCAGTTTCTTCCTTTATCCCTCCCTCTGTCATCTCATAAGAGCCAGCCCTTAGGACCAAAGAGTGGGAGGGGGAGCCCCACAGGTGGGAAACATTGCATATAATATCAGAATTTTTTTCCTGATTTGATTAGTTTTGCTGATCCGCCTCCCCATTTTCCTTTAATTCCATCACTGGGTTATAACAGTTATCTCTTTCCACACTATCTTATCAGAGAAGAGCATGGTCTAATATTTGGTTGCCCTTAGATGAAAGCCACATGGACATGAGTTTCCTAAATGTTTTGTAGGTTGCTTTGTATGTCATTATGTAGATACTTACTGAGCTCTGCTGCAAAGAATTGATCAACAGAGCATTGCCCTAGTTATAAAGTCCGTATTTACTTCCAAACCCATGGTTCATGAGAGCAAAGATCTGGAGGTTGAAGAGACCCCAGAAACCATCTAGACCAAGTCTTTACATTTTAAAGATGGGGGGTTCTGTGTCCCGAGGTGACCAATTGACTTGTCCAAAGCCATCCTGGTAGTTAAAGGTTAGGATGAGATTTGAACCAAATTCTCTTACTCTAGAGCTCCTACTGTCCTCTTGTTCCCCATGTTACCCCCCAATCTCAGCAGTTATTTAGACTACCAGAAGTTTGACCCTGTAAAAAGGAAAATTCTTTGTTTGGACTTCTGTTCTGATTAACAAGGTAACACTCAAAAGAAAGAGAATTGAAAGGAGTTTATTAAAAGGACACCAAGGTAACAGTTCATTGATGGGCTGATCACTAGAGATCAGCAAGGAATTCAGGATGGAGCCAGTTTTTATTGATAACGTTCATAATGAGATAAAGACAAATCAAAGGGGTCCAAGTCAGCAAATGGGGATGGATCATTGCATCTCAGCTCCTCCCCAAGGTAGCAGGTATGTGACAGTTAACTGGTAGGGGTATGTGCTGAAAAGCTGCAGACTAGATGATGCCTCCTCCAACACTGCAAATATACAGGACTGGGAATAGTGGGTCACTGAATCAGCATAACTTTCAGGAATGCAATTTAGGCTTTTTAAAGTGAGCTGTGAGATTTGGGGAAATTTTTGTTATTTTGTTAAGATTTCCCCCTTATTTTTATTTTATTGCATTTTTAAAAACAATTCCTTTAATTCACCAAGTGTGAAAATTTTAGAAGCATTTCCCCTCTTGTCTTTGTACCTTCTCACCCCTTAGAATCCCTAGCTTCCTTCAGTGCAGAGCTCAAGTGAGCTGTCATCTGAGATGAGCCTCATTTAAGGCCAGCCACCATTATTTATAATTGAGATGACAGGGGTTTTGTAGCAGCAGTTTCTGTTTAGACTTTCAATATTAGTAGGGAATGTGGTGGTTTCCTTCTGTGAGCTCTGACTATACTACTCCAGGGGACCCTAATTTACACTTATATATAGTTTTAAGGTTTTCAAAGTGCCAAGTGCATTATGTCATTTGGACTTCTTTGACTATTACTAAGTATGTCCTCTCTCCTCCCATCCAAATGCCTTCATGATGTCTAGATGGAACTACCACCCAAAGAGGGTAGCTAGATAGTGATAGACAGTGGATAGAGTGTCAACTCTGGAGTCAGGAGCACTTGAATTCAAATCTGGCCTCAGATACTTACTAGCTGTGTGACCCTGGGTAAGCCACTTAATCCTGTTTGCCTCAATTACTCATCTGTCAAATGAGCTGAAGAAGTAAAATGGCAAACCACTCAGTATCTTTGCCGAGAAAACCCCAAATGAGGTCAGGAAGAGTCAGATACCACCAAAACAACTCAACAAAGATAATAACTAACCAAAAAGTCTTACTTTTGTGATCTTATTCAAATGAATCTCACCATACCTTGGGCCCTTCAAAACGATATTCTGAACTATTCCTGCCTTGGAGTAGAAGTCACTAGGTCTGGGTCATCCCACAATTGGGAGATGTTACTGGCCTTGTGAATATGTATTAGCTTCTGCTGATTTGGTATCTTTTTCAACAATTGCCACATGCCAGAGTGATAAGAACATTTTGCTAGTTGGACAGTGCCTACCTTCAAGAGCTAGGGAATTCTTTAAGTAATTAATGCCTTGTATCAGGTAGACATTGAATAAATATTTATTACAATTTACATGCCTACTCTGAGATAGGCACTGTGCTAAATGTAAAATGTGAAATGAATGAAGGTACGTAGCAGACAACCTTTACAATTCAGTAAGCAAACAGTAAATATCTATTAAGCACCTACTGTGTACATGGAACTGTTCTAGGTACTGAACCCAGTATGCTTTCAAAGAGCTTACATTCTTTTAGAGTACAAGGAACAGTGTTGGTCTAGCTCCATGTTGCCTTTGTCCTGCTATATCATGAGCAAGATTAGGGCCCTTCATTGAACTAAGAGTGCTTATTAGATTATTACTTGAAAAGCTAGCAGTGATCAAGAGAAGCCAGGCTGTAGAGACATAGAGACCAAACCAAGTGAAAGCTGTCTATTTGCTGCTAGGGGCATCTGTTTGTGAGGGGCAATATGGGCTCTGCCCCAAATGGGGGAAGGATCTTCATGCATCCATGCTTATGTAAACTAAACAGCATAAACCGCTTTCTTGTAAACTTAGGTCAGCTAGCTCACTACTGGGGTGATCTGTTTCACACCTTTCTTTCTTTTAGGTTTATTGTCTTTTCACTAAAATTTGTACTTCTTAATCCTTTTTTCTTTCAAAGTATTCTTTGGGTTGGTTTTGAATGATTCTGTGCTCCATGGTCTATTGAATTGGGTAGATTATTGAATAAAACTCTTTATAAGCCTCCAGCCTTTACCCTTCTGCCAGTTCTCCATTTGAGAGTAGCACAAGGAGTATGCGAGCAAGGTCTATTGAATTGGGTAGATTATTGAATAAAACTCTTTATAAGCCTCCAGCCTTTACCCTTCTGCCAGTTCTCCATTTGAGAGTAGCACAAGGAGTATGCGAGCAATTTAAAATCATTAATATGTTTCTTCTTGTTTTTTTTTAAATACATTAACTGACCAGCTTAGTCATAATGAATATTCTTATCAGTATGCACCTTTCCCACTAGCAGAATACAATCTCCCTGATGTCAGGAATTGTTTTTGTTTTTGCATCCCCAGTGCTTTGCCCAGTTCCTGGCACTAAATGAATGCCTGTTGGCTGAATGAATGAATGAAGGAGAAAACCTTCTAGTTTGTGGGGAATATTCTTAAATCAGACATGCATGCTTTTTTATGAATGAGAGAAAATGTTTCAGTATTATGAGCAAGCTACTGACTAAGCCTTTCTCAGATACTGCTGTAATGCAGAAAGTTCTGCATTTGGAGTCCTTTTGATTGTTGTAAATACCTTGCACAGTAATGCCTGGAGACTGTGTTTATTGGCATAGCTATCACTTATATACTCATCTTGACTGGATGGACAGCACAACATAAAGTGTTGCTCTCTGAAAGCTCCCAGTGGGGAGTCAGAGCGTGTCTGTGCTGTCCAGAATTGCATTGTCCATCATTTCATTGCTTCTCTTGGTTTTGGAATTTTCCAGGCTATCTGGGGCTTTTAATCTGAGGTGGAACTTCCTCCGCAGCGTTTCTCTAAATGGTTGGCAGAGGAAGAAATAAATAATGGGGTCCAGGCACACATTGGCTGCAGATAGGAACAGAGTGAATTCTTTTGTGTAGAGCAGGATTTCTTTGGATTGACAGTCATAATGTCCTTCAGTTTGGCTTCTGGTATAGGGGATTCGGGCAATGTGATAAGGGACAAAGCACACACAAAACACAAACATGATGCAGAATATGTTACGGCTGGACTTTTTCTTGACAGAGATAGAATTCCTTCTCGACCTAAGGTAAGAGCGGTAGATTTTCCTCGTGATGGCAGTGTAACAGATGATCAGAAGAAGGAACACAATCCAGAAGATACCCACGAAAATGTAATTAGAGGCTGTGTGCCACTTGAGTCCCAATTCATTTTTTAGTTCCATGCACTTAACGTTGTCTTCCTCCTTGGCGCTTTGATCGGTCAGAATGATGTTGGGGATGGCCAGGATTAGCATCAGGACCCAGACGAGGAGAGAGAGGATCCTACTGTAGCCAACCGTGTGAACAAACGAAGCCAGAAGGGGCTTGACGATCTTGTAGTACCTGTCAAATCCGATGAGCCCAAAAAACACGATTCCCACGTACATGTTGACGTAGAAGACCACTGCGGACACCTTGCACACAAAGATGCTCAGCTGCCAGGGCCCTATTTTGGAATCACTCAGAATTTTGAATGGGAAAGTTAGACTCATCAAAAAGTCAGCCGCCACGATGTTCTTGAGATAGACGATGTAGCTCTTGCTGTTGGAAACGTAGAAAAAGATCCACGCAGATATCCCATTGAGCAGAATCCCACCCACGAAGACAAAGCAGTAGAGCAGGGGAATGATGTATTGTGTGATTAGAGAATTCAGAGAACATTCCGTGTGGTTGCTGGCAGTTTTGTTGTCCATTTTTTTTTCAGTTAAAATCCTAAAAACAGAAAAGAAACAGTTAAACTAAGGTCTCACATTGGTAGGAAGCAAATTTAGTAGAGGTAATTAGAACAAGCCTCAGAGATCTCACTTGGAAGTTAGATTACCTGTTTTGGATGGATTCAGAAGTACTCTCCTATAAAGACAGAAGACAGTAAGATTGAGGGATTGTACGCCATTAAAGCCATGTGATTTGGAGTGGGTCGCCTAAACTCTTTGAGCAAGTCATTAAACTGCATTTGAAAGATGTGATGGTTGGCCTAGATATTCCCCTGCCTCTAAAAATCTATGACTCTAAGATTCAGGATAAGGAGTGTTGGAAGGAGTTGAGTACCTTGGATGTAAAAATGAGAAGAGGAAAGTTTCCCTAAAACATTGAATAGTGTCATGGTTGAAATTTAAGGAAATGGCAAACTAAAGTAGATCTCCAAGCAAGATAACATTTATTAGCAGCCACAGGCTACCTGTCAATAAACGGACCAATGGCTTGCCTCCATTAATGCCAAAGACCCTGAGCAAAAGACAGTTCCCCTCACATAGGCTCTGGGGAGTACCGGACAAAGAACAGAACAGGGTAGATAACATCACGGAGTTAAAGGCAACATGGCTGGTTACTGAACCAAGGCGAAGGGAACAACTACCCCCTTCTTCTCCCATGAGACTAAGAAACGCTCATTGTTTGAGTGCAGAAGTGAGATTGCCCAGACTTTTGGACAGCAAAGCAGACATCCTCAAAGGATAGTTTGGTGATGTAAGTACATTAGGCCCAGCTCCCTTTCTGTTCACACACATTCTTCAAGGTTAGTTAAATTCCTTGAGGCAAGAAAGCTGGATTTTGAAATTTAACCTATTACAGGCCAGCTGAACTCTGAGCTAAGTTCGGAGACAAAGAACTGTGGCTTAAGCTGTTGCTTTGTAGATGAACCAGGCTATGGAATAAATTAGATAACTAAGCATGCATGCCAGTATTTTAAGTTGAAATACAAGTCTCAGTTGCCCTCTTTGCTTAAACCATTTTTTAAAATAGTAAATGCTAGGAAAGGAAGTGAGTGGAAAGGGTCCATTGGAGGCCAAGGTCCCAATGGGTCCTTTCTGAATTAGGATGATGACAATAATAACTAACGTTTCTATAGCACTTACTAAAGGCCAGGGAAGTAGGTGCTATTATTATCCCCATTTTACAGATGAGGAAAATGAACCCAATAGAGGTAAAGTAACTTGTCCAAGATCACTCTGCTAATAAGTATCTGAGGCTGAATTTGAACTCGGTTCTTCCTGACTCTCGGCCCAGCATTCTATGCTGTCCAAGGCTTTACATGTTTTATTTATTATATAGGATCTCTGACAGGCCATGTTTCTGCTCCTTGGCATGATGTGAAAGCATAGAGAGGATTTTCCTCAGGTGAGAATTTCCTGTATCAATTAAATTCCAGTTCCAGGCCCCACTGCCTTCTTCCCTTTTCTGTGTACCTGGCACTGTGATAAGCAATAATGATTACATTGCCTAGAAATAGCAATAATTCCAAATGCCTCCTGAGTTTATTTTTCAATAAATGTGCTCTTTCAAAGCGGTGCTTTGGAAACTGGGACCCATTTGGTGGTTCATCTGAAGTCATCTGGCCTTACTCTAGTACAGGTCTGCATAACCTGTAGCCTGGGGACACACCAAACAATTTCAGGTGGCCTCTGAAAAAATGTAGAGGAAAATGTCTGTTACATGTAGAGGAAATCCTTTGGCCTGCCCAAGCAGCCCACAGGCTGTAAGTGGCCTGTGGGTTACAGGTTGTGCAGGCCTGCTCTAGTCCTTAAGAGCTACCACAAGGCTATACATCATTTTGGAAATAGAAAAACAAACAGTCCAATAATAAGGAAGTACGTGCAATTGTAAGAATGTTACATTTAATTTAAGGTAATTGCTTTGTGGTTTTTATATAATAGAATGAATTATACCTCACTTATTTGGGAATGATTTGGCAGTGTTCCCTATAATTGAGGTTGCCAGATAAAAAACCAGGAAGGAAGCAAAGTAGTGAGTAGTGAAAATTGATGCCGCAAAGTTACCACATGCTAAAGGTTGGGTACTTTGCTCACAGGTGAATCCCCGTCTCTACATGTTTTTTGTTGTTGCTTTTTTAGTTTTTTGTTTGTTTGTTTGTTTGTTTGTTTGTTTGTTTGTTTGTTTTAGTGAGACAGTTGGGGTTAAGTGACTTGCCCAGAGTCACACAGCTAGTAAGTATTTATTATATGTCTGAGGCTGGATTTGTACTTAGGTCCTCCTGACTCCAGGGCCAGTGCTCTATCCACTGCACCACCTAGCTGCCCCTCTACGTACTTTTTAAAGAAAGAAATACTGAGATTAACAAATTGGTAATCTTCAATTACCAGAGATTTAAATTAGATGGAAGCCCTCATACCCTAACGTGACAGAGAAATTCAATTCATTGAACATTTATTTATTCAGCACCTTCTAGTGAAGTGCTGATAGGGGTATCTAGGTGGTAAAGTAGACAGAGAGCTGTGGTCCTGAAGTCCAGAATTACCTGAGTTCAGATCTGGCTTTATATACTTCCTAGCTATGTGACCCCAGGCAAGTCACTTCACCCTGTTTGCCTCAGTTTCCTCATCTGTAAAATGAGCTGGAGAAAGAAATGGCAAACCACTCTAGTATCTTTGCCACAAAAACCCCAAATGGGGTCATGAAGAGTCAGACTTGACAGAAAAGGACTGAACAACAAAAAATGTATGTACCTTCCAAGATTATTGTGAGGATAAAAAGAGATGCTTTTTATAGAGTGCTTTGCAGAACCTTAAAGAACTATGTAAATGCTAGCTGTTGTTATTATTATGACTCTGCTTATCTGGAGAATTTATTGCTCTATTATACTTTGTTTAGTGTTTAAAAACAGCTTTCCTGAAGAATCTTTTTTACTTAAGGGGCATAGGGATATAAGGTCTTACACATTTATTGCTAAACCTTAGTACAGTGCTAAACCTTAGATATGGCAATGTGGTCAGGGGTTTGGGGTTAAGGAAACAACCTGTGATTTCATTGATAGAGGGAACTCTCGGATGGGGAGACTCCATCTACAATGCAGGTCATCTCTTTCTCAGCAATGTAGAGTCTCAGGGGGTGAGCCTACATCCTAGTAATATCCTCCTAAACCCTGCTTTATGGACAATGTGTAAACAGACTTGTCAGACAACAGTGGCATCTTTGGGCTTTCCTTTGGTTCGCTTTTTGGAAAGCTAAACCACAAGTATAGAAAATGTGTACTAGAGAAAACTAGCTTGATCTCGATGGTAAGTCCATTGCTTCTGGGATGCAAGTTAAAATCTTTTACTTTTTTCAGGTGAATGAAATTTCAAATTTCACTTCAGTTTTTTTCTTCTTTTGTAGCTTCTACTTGATAAGGGGCTATAGGAGACACTACACTCAAGGAAGTTTCTCTTTTCATCAATAGTGGTGGTTCTCTTCAACTAGTCTGTTCAGGACTACCCATCATGCAAAGCAGTGTGGTGCTGTGGAAAGGATAACAGGCATGGGAGTAAGGGTGGCATGAAAAATGAGGCTCTGGTTTTAAGAGTCAAGATACCCGAATTCAGCTGTGTCCTCTCACTTAATAGCTGTGTGACTCTGAGCAAGTTACGTCACCTCTGTTTGCCCCACTTTTCTCATCTGTAAAATGGGACTAGCAATAGCACCTATTTTATAGGGTTACTGTATCGAAGAAGACAACATATTTGAAGTGCTTTGGAAACTTTAAAGGGCTACACACATGCTAGCTGACAGTATTAATAATAATGTGGCTATATTATTAATATGTCATATTGTTACCAATATGATAACAATAAATCCTGCATTAGCCATGTAGTAACAGTAGAACTGTGGGCAAGGCTTTTCACCTCTCAATTTTATCTGGATGATAGGAGTGATAATACTTAGCTTAGCTTAGCACATAGCAGGTTGTTAAATGTTTATTAACTGATTGTACTAGGCTGAGAAAAATGCTTTACAAACTTAAATGAACAACATAAATTTGTATGGTGGTTGTTATCCCACCATAGAATTATAGAACTGGAGGGGATCAATAGAGGTCATGTTAGTCTAATCTCTTTATTAATAAAGAAGTTGAGGCTGAGAAAGGTAAAAGGACTTTGCCCGTAATCACGCACATGACAAGTAGGTCTTTTAAGTCTCAATCCAGTGTTATTTTCACTATACCATGTCATTGGCTATTTGGAAATGCCTTGTTTTTCCAGTTGTGTGCAAAGCTATTGAAATAACTTTAATTTTCTTACTTTCCTTCCACCTTGGCTAGTGTGAGATGACCTTCGTTAGAATATCCCAGCCTTATGACTCCTTTCCATTTTGAAGCTTTCTTTAAGAACCCTGCGTATGAAGAGATATATGTATTAAATTACATGAGAATCAAGTAATTTGGGGTAAAATATGCATATGATGATCAGATGGCTGCCATGTTTCCATGTGCTCCTTTATCCAAACTTCTTTTGCTGTTAATGCTGGGTAGATTCACTATGACTGTACTTAATACTGTCTTTAATGCTCTTGTGGGTTAATTTTTGGTAGCTTCTCAGTCACTTATTTGACCTCTTGATGGCTATTAGTGTATTGGTCTCTTTAGAATGTATGTATGTATGTATGTATGTTTCTCTGGGTCTCAGAATTCTGGAAAGAGAGTAAGTGGTTTGGCTTGCATGACCTTTGTCAGACTAATGCTCTATGATTTGGGTGGGATTTTTGTTGTGGACTCTTTAAGTTTTCAAATTAAGTCATTGAGTTACTTTTCTTTCTTGCATATTATTTTAATAATAAATCCTGGTATGATTTGGTCAGTTAAATCTGATGTGTATTTTTCCTGAAAAAATACTATAGAATAGCATAAGTTTGGCAGTTAAATTCCAGGTTCAGTTGTTAGTTGATGGCTAATCCAGGACTAGATGATGTCTGAAAGACTACCCAGTGCCTCTCCACGGGCTAAGTTTGACTCCATGGTGTGATAAGGATAATTCATCCCCAGAGTTGGAAAAAAAAATCCATGAGTTGTGTCTTAGACATGGTCATTGCTGGGTGTCAGAATGCATCTTTTCCCAAATATGTAGTATATATTTCTAGGTGATGTATTTGCCTATTTAGGAGTGTTGCAAAGTGCTGTGTTAAGAAGTAAAAATAGTATAGAAGATGTCTCTCTGGCAGGGGGAAGGGAAAAAAGAACTGAGAGGAATTTTGGCAATATTTTAAAAAATCAAAATGTTATTAATAAATTTATAACAAATTTTACAAAAAGAATGAAAAATGTGTTTTCTGCATATTAAACGAATTCCTTGATCTCACAAATTAAACTCTGAATTCATGGTGTTGTCTGGATCTAATATATGTACTATCCTTGTCCAGACTTGAGGCAATCTTGTATATTCCAATTCTAAAATGAGAGACCAGGCACTTTTATTTTCTCAGGTTTTATTTCTTCCAGAATGTGTTAGAGTGTGTGTTGTCTTCTCCTCTCCCCCTACCCAATAGTCTGCTGGGCCCTTGGCATTTTGACTCTGCTTCCCTAAACATAATTCAGACACCTGACTTTAAGAACTAACTGCAACCCCATTCTTAATTTCCTTTGGCTGTTGTTGAGTCGTTTCAGTCACGTCAGACTCTGTCTAACCCCATTTGGGGTTTTCTTGGCAAAGACACTGCAGTCGTTCGCCATTGACTTCTCCAGCTTATTTTATAGATGAGGAAACAGGCAAAGAAGGTGAAGTGACTCACCTGGGGTCACACAGCTTGTAAGTGTCTGAGGCCAGGTTTGAATTCAGGTCTTCCTAACTGCAGGGGTGGCGCTCTATCAAGTGCAACACCAAGCTGCCCAGTCTCCTGATGTCACTGGTCTTTTGGGAGAACTTAGGACAAACAACAATGGGTAGACTGCTGAACCTGTAATCCGCTCAAATACAATCTCAGACCCAGTGCTCTATCCACTTTGCCACCTACCTGCCCTGCCTTAATTTCCTACATAAGCCTTTAATCAGAACTAGTAACAAAGAGTAAGCTTAATGATGATGAGAAGGCACTGTCATAGCTTCTCCTTACAAGTAGCTGTTCTAAGAATTCATATAAAGAGGGGTTGGAAAGTTGACACCGATGGAACCTACCTTTGGGCTTGTCAGCCTTTTAATGGAAACCCATGGAAACCCTTGTGGTAAGTCAGGCCTGGTTCTTGCTCTAAAGGAGTTCATGGGCTAATGGGGAAACAATGTGGAGGTGATCGGCTCGGGGGAGGCACCAGCATTAAGGGGGACCAGGAAGTGTTGACGAAGCTCAGACTTGAAGGAAGCCACAGAGGGCAGGAGATGAAGATGAAGGAAGACAAGATTCTGTGCATTGAAGGGATAGCCAGGGAAAATGCAAGGAGTTAGGAGATAGAGTTGTCTTATTAGAGGGACTGGAAGGAGGTTACTAGATCACTCTGTGTGTGTGTGTGTGTGTGTGTGTGTGTGTGTGTGTGTGTGTGTGTGTGTGTGTGAGAGAGAGAGAGAGAGAGAGAGAGAGAGAGAGAGAGAGAGAGAGAGAGAGAGAGAGAGTGTTAGAAGCAGAGAGGAAAGGGCAAGAGAGGGGAGAGAGAGGGTTAGACCTGGCCTTTTGAGGAAGCTTAATTTGACCACTGAGTGGAGGATGAACTGTAGTAAGGAGAGACTTGAGGATGGCAATAGTCCAGGGGTGGTAAGAGGTGAGTGCCTACCCCAGCATGGTGATAGTGTCAGAGGACAGAAGGGGGCCTATGCAAGAGACGTTTTGAATGTAGAAAATACATGACTCGGCCAAAAACAAAAAACAAAAAAACTTGGCTATGGGGCATGAGCATGAAGATGTCACCTACATTTCGAGTCATTTTGAGACTGGGCGGATGGTCATGCCCTTGAGAGTAACAGGAAAACTAGGAAGAGGGGAGTTTTTTGGGGAAAGAAATTCAGTTTTAGATGTGTTGAGTTTTAAGTGTCTATGGGTGTGAATTCTTAGGTAGACAGTGTGGGTTTTCCCTGTCATACAGATGAGGAAACATAATTTTGAAGAATTAAAGAGATTTGCAGATAGTCGTACAGTGAGTGTCAAGGAAGTAAAAGATCCTTGACCATGATCTGGGGTGACTCAGTCTTCATCAGCCTTACACCTGAAGTTGTTGGTTTGCTGTCTACCCCACCCCCTCCAACAGGAATGATGGTTTTATACTGACTCATTCATCTATCAGGTGGCTCCTCCTACTCTACTTGTCAGACAGTTTTCACAGTGATAGCACCAGAAAACAACTGAGAATACCTTATCTTTCCCCCTAAACCCTCACCCTCTCCTAACTTCTCTATTACTGTCAAAGACAACACCATTTTCCTGGTCCCTTAGGCTCCCATCCTCACAGTCTTCCTTGACTCCACACTGTCTCTCACATCCAAGCTGTTGCCAGTGCCTGTCAATTTAACCTTTACACTGTCCCTTCTGCCTTTTGACACTGCCTCCATCCTGGTGCAGGTCCTCATCACCTCATACCTGGATTATTGCAATAACTGCTAATTGATCTGCTTGCCTCAAGTCTCTCCCCACCCCAATCCATTTTCAATTCACCCATTAAAGTAATTTTCCTAAAGCACAGGTCCAACCATCTCATCCCCCCTGCTAAACAAACTCTAGTTGCTTCCCATTGTCTCGAAGAGCAGATACTAAATCCTCTCTTTGTTATTTCAAGCCCTTTACAACCTAGCCCCCTCCAACCTTCCTAGTCTTCTTACACCTTACCTCCCAAAAGGTCCTCTGACCTTCTGGCTGTTCCACAAAGAAGATACTCCATCTCTCAGCTCTGGGAGTTTTCTTTGGCTCTCCCCCCTCATTTCCTTCTGCTGACTTCCCTGGATGCTCAAAGCCTTTCCCAACCCCTTTTAATTCCAGTGTCTTCCCTCTGTTAATTAATATCTATTCTATAGGTAGCTTTTTTGCATGTATTTATTTGTGATGTTGTCTCCCCCATTAGATCGTAAGCTCCTTGAAGGGGGAGGGACTATCTTTTGCCTCTTTTTGTATCCCCAGCACTTAGCACAGTGCCTTCCACGAAGTAGGTGCTTAATAGATATTTATTGACTTACTGACTGTCAGTGGCCTAGAGAAACAGTGTGGTATAGTGGAAGGAGTTCAGGAAGTGGAGTGAGAGAACCTGGGTTGAAATATGGGCTATCAGATTCCACCTCAGGCATCTGTTACACCAGTGACCCTGGACTTACTGCTTACCTTTTCTCTCAACCTCAGTTTCCTCATCTATAAAATGTGAGGATTGGAGCAAATGTTCTAGAAGATCTCTTCCAACTCTTAATCTAACTGTAATAATCTCTATAATCACTTTCATAATCAAACCTTGACCTGCATTATTAATGAAGTGAATTATGGTAACCATTCACTGTGAATGGAATATGAATAAGGGAAGGGGAAAGAACACTTGTTAAGTGCTGCTATATGCCAGGCTCTTTGCTAAGCATTTCACAAATATTATCCCATTTAATCCTCACAAAAACCCTGCAAGATAGGTGCTATTATTATCCCCACTTTACAGTTGAGGAAACTGAAGCAGACAGATGTTAAGAAACCTGCTCAGGGTCACACAGCTAGTGAGTATCTAAGGTCAGATATAGACTCAGGTCTTCTTGATTCTAGATCCAGTCTCTATCTACTGCATCACCTAGCTCTATTGTAAGGGCATGTTTTTATATTCTACAGGAAGAAATAATTTGGTTTTCTTCCCTCAGGAATGGAAATAAAGGCTCCTTAGAGAACCCCACCCATCCTGACAGAGGATCGGGATGTCTTGATACTTCGCTTCTAAATCTCTTGGTTGATATTCAGTTCTGAATTCCCAGGTCTTCATCACCCTCAGCTGAAAGGTGACAGCACTTTCTGCTTGGTGAGCACCGAACACAGAAATCTACTATAGAGGACACTGGGAAGGTTTCTAAAATGGGCATGACCGCCATCAGTGTCACGATGCTGTATTGTTAGCCTTGTCAGGGCTGGTGGGGACCGATAGAGCCAGAATGATGATGACAATAAAGACTAAAGACCAGAACCTCAAATTAGAAAAAGACAAATAACTAGAAGAGAAAAAGAATAGGAAACTGCATGGGAACAGAGAAAAACAGTTAGATTCATCTATTCATGACGTCCAAGTTCTGCTGTGGTTTTAGAAAAAGTAGATATTTGGGGGATTTGGGAGATAAAAAATTTTCCCATGTGTTGTTGACCTTGTTTTTTCTCTGTGTTTTTTTTCCATTTTTTTAATAAAAATTTCAGGCAGATTCCCAAAATGATAAATCGTCAAAGTATATGAATAGGCAGTTTTAGAA